GGGGGGAGTCCCCGGGATCCCTGGAGGGGTTGAAGAGTTGGGCTGAGCCAGCGCTGAGGGATCTGGGGGAGTTGGGAAGAGTCAGGGTGAGGTTCATGGTTGGGCTGGAGGAGCTGCAAGGGCTTTGCCAACCCAGATGACTCTGTGAAAGGTTGGCCAACAAGACCACCCTCCCCTGCCAGTGATGTAGGGCTCCCAGCTTCCTGCAGAAATCTCCCTGAAAACAGAGGGGGAGTGGAGGATGCACCTTCAAACCTGCAGCCCAAGTAACAAGTGCTACATGCTCAGAACCCAAGTGGTCTCTCAAAGCAGGTGAACAGAAGCGTGGCCTGAACGTCCTGTAACAGCAGGGCACGGGCCAGGGCAGGTCTGACAGAGGACAGGGAGTGCAGAGTTGTGTTCTGGTCCTGCTTCTGCAAGATCCAAGCCCAAGGCTGTGGAAGTAGCCTGCTGCTAGACTGGTGATGAAGGGGCAGGAGTGCTGTGATAAGAGGTTTTAATCGATTTTACTTTTTTCTGCAAAGCTCTCTAAAGCAGTGTTATTTTCCTTTGAAGAACACAGCTAGAGAAACAGGCCTGGGCAGGGACACAGCTCTTGCTCTGCCCCACATGGCTGTGTGAGGCATCCAGTGTGCTGCGGGTGAAGGGACTCCCTCTTACTGCTCTTACCATTCCCATCAGGATCAGCCTTGACTGCAGTGTACATCTCCCGGATGTTTTCGGGGGTCATCCACCTGCCATTCCCAAGCCGGGTGTGGGTCAACACCTAAAATTCATAAATGGATCAACACCAGGCACAGGTTTTCTTGTACTACAGATTCCCTGCTTGAGGCCTGGCGGGTTCTCCTCTGCAGCGCCTCGGCCAGCCAGGCGTCAGCACATCTCTGCAGAAAGAAGACTGAATCATCTGGCAGCCACACACAGTGTGTGGCTGATGAGTGCTGTTATTTCCAGTTTGGGTCACGGCAAATGACTGCTGGGACTTGGTTAACCAGTTCTGAAGTGGAGGGGGCACAGCTCTTTCTCTTGATGGGAAAGTAAAGCTATTGATGAGAAAAGTGAATGCTTTTACTTGTCCAAGATACGGACTTGGAACAAAATGCTTCCTTTCCATGTGGACTCCAGGATGCTGCATCTCTCTCTCCTGGAGAGCTCTCAGCGGGCTCTGTCCTTTAGAGAAAGGAGCCTTGCCCTGAGTTCCCCGCACTCCACAACCCCGGCTGCTCAGAGGACAGACCCCCAGCCCCACCTGAAACGGGAGCCTGGGGAGGGACATCCCTGAGCTGCCAGCGCCTGCCCTGATGCACCCTGCCACACACAGTAAGGGGGCTGAAGAGCTGTGGACAAGGTGCTCATTACCCCCCTCCGGGCTCATTAACGGGGGTGGCTTTGCGGGTGTTTCGCCCATTAGCAGAGTCAGCTCCCCACAGCTGCACAAAGCAGTGTCCACACTACGAACTCACTTCCCCAGGACACCCAGCATGAGGAAACCACCAGCACAAGGAACATTTCACCCAGCATATTCAAAACACACGTCTCCTGCCAAGAACCATCACTACCTCCCAGTAGCATGACAACTGCTGCACATTTCTCCAGAAACTTCCACGCTGAAGGCCAGCACAAGTCTTGAGACATAAAATTAAGCAAATACTGATCGGTATACGCTGGGGTTTGGCCCTACTGAAGCACATGAGAGACCATCTGAGGAGAGGAACTGCCAGAGGGTCCCCCAGCAAACCTCCCCCAGTAAGTCCCGCACTCTACCTCTTTGAGCTGCAGCTGCCCATCCTGATTGTGGTCCAGCAGATTGAAAATGTCCATCTGGCTGATCTCTATCATTTCCATGGCTTCCTCATAGTCATCCGTTGGTAGGATCTGGCTCTTCTGCAGCCCCTTCAGCTGTGCCAGATGGACAATGAGCTTGCATTCCTCCTCTGTCAGGAAGTCGGGAATTTCTGCAGCAAAAGTGTGAGCAGCAACAGAGACTGAGGAACTGTTACAGTGGGACCTCATACCGATGGCAGGCCACTCAGAATTAAAAAAAAAAAAAAAAAAAAAAAAAAAAAAAAAAAAAAAAAAAAAAAAAAAAAGGAGGGGGGGAATGGAGAAATTTAGGAACTGCCTAAGTTTGGGACATTGAAACACATCCAGCCTTCTACCATAAGAGCTCTCAAAAGAGCACAGACCACACACCTGAGCTGCTGGAGGAGGGTATTTTTACAGCAGCAGTTCCTAAATGTTTGGATCCAGGGGTCAAGCCCTTAAACTCGCTCACAGATACCACAATGGACAAAGGAGTCAACAAACATGTGCATATCACTGCATATTATCACTTCAAAGGTGACGTGTAGATCACAGTCTGGGAACCGCTGCTCTAAAGAAAGGGAGGTGAAAAATCTTTACGGCGGGCAGTGGTGAGGGCTGGGGGTTTCAGGCTTCCTTGCTCTCACATGGAGAGGGCAGCACTTTGCACAAAACCAAATGCATTTCAGAGGAACCTGGCACGGCGCTCTACTACAAAATTCAAAGAAACAAGGGGACAACTTCCAAACTTATTCCCACTCATTCTCTTGATCCTCCACTAAAAATGGACTTCAAATGCAATATTAAAGGGGAAGACATGGCGGGTGCCACGCTCCATACCCAGGTAGCATCCCAGTATCACCAGCTTTCCTTTGCAGCACGACACCAGCAGCAATCAGGCAATACCAGGATCCCAAGCAAATTTAAATGCAGAGAAACCCACCAGTGACTACGAGGCTAAGAGATTTCTAGCTGTATGGTGCACTGGGCAGGCACTTGCAAAGTGAGGTCCTGTTCCACAGCACAGTTACACTGTGGCCCAACAGGTTGAGCAGATCCTTTTAGGTGATGTCTGTCACTGCTGCAGGGATCTTGTTAACAGCTGCTGAGACTGAACAGGGAAGGAAAAACCACCAAAGCAAGACAGATTTAAGTGCTTCTGGGCCCATGGTCCTGCTCTCCAAACTGCAGCTCCTTAGAGGTGCTGCAGGTATGTGCCAAGGACACATCATACCTCAACTACAGCAGCGATCCTCAAAGGGGGGGAAAAAAAAAGTTAATTACTTCCATGACCTTAAATCAACCCTATCAGCTCAAACAGTCAATAAGCAGATGGCTTTTTGCTAAGCACAGACCAGAACTAGCCCTGTAGAAAATGAGATATTCCTGGGAAGCCCCAGAAACACAATGCAGGCGGCTGCATCTGTAACAGCCTCTGAGGAAACAATTTCCGCCACAGGCAGCGCAGGGTCCTTGTGCCAGAGGATGCTTCAGGGCCGGAGCTTCCACTGACCGGTTTGAACCTCATGGCACGACACCGAATGAACTGTGTGTGCTGGCAAGCAACGCCCCCAGTATTTCCAGTTCCACAAACCGGGCTACAATAATGATGGCTTCTGGAATCTTAATTACGTGCTGGAGGAAGGACAATCCCACTTTTCAGCGGTAGTGACAGGATTTTGTAATGAAGTAAAAATTCTGTTAACGGGAATTATGCTCTGTCACGCAGGTTGCAAGGTGAGGGGGTTTCCAGCTAAGTGCTCCGATCCTGTCTGCAAACAACCTGGCTCCACAGCTGCCAATTAGTTCCTCTCTACTCCCAGATCTCCGAAACGGTTAACTTCTGGCTGTGAGACCGTCCTATCTCCCTGCCTGCTCAACAATAGATCCAGCTAAACAAATGCCTCCTAATTGACTTTGAGCAACACTTGATTGCTTTTACAAAAAACAAAAGAGAGGAAAACATTGAGGTTTATGAAATAATGACTAATCCTGGAGCAAGAGAAAGGGGATGGGTTGGAGCACTGGTGTCAAACAGAGATTCAATCTTGGCTAAAAGAGCCCCAAGACACACGGGCCAAGTCATTCATCCCTCCCCAACTGCCCTCATTTCCACACCTGCTGATCTAAGCCAAACCCCTGCTAAAATCCAAACAATCGGGGCCGCTGGCAAACGAAAATTGGAGCATTGTCTTCCCCATGAGGGCTCTGAAAGGGCCGCACTTAATGAGGATGGATTGACAGAGAGGTGGCTCGTAGGCTATAAAAGGCATCCCACAGTCGGGAGCAGCTCAGTCCAGGCTGTGCCACCCATTTGCCTGCTCCCAGCTCACTCCGAGCATGGTCACAGCCTACCGCAGGCACCCCTCCAGGTCGGGTGGCCCATGGCTGCTGGGTCTCCTGGCACGCCTGCTGCTCTGGGGCTCTCCAGGAGTCTGGGCGAGCTACCTGAGGAGATCCTCCAGCTGCACGCCCATTCCACACCACATGGCCTTGTGCTACGATATTGGCTACTCCGAGATGAGGATTCCCAACCTGCTGGAGCACGAGACCATGCCAGAAGCGATCCAGCAGTCTTCCAGCTGGCTGCCCTTGCTGGCCAGGGAGTGCCACCCAGATGCTAGGATTTTCCTCTGCTCCCTCTTTGCACCAATCTGCTTGGACAGGTAAGATGTTTTTACAAGTTATTTCAGCTATAGCAAGTAACCCTCTCCAAGAATGCAACTGCATTTGCGTCCTGGGAGAAAACGTGTATAATGTGATCAGTGCAGTCCCCAGAAAGCCGTCCCGTCCCTCTTGGCAAGAGGCAATTGGATTACCCAGCAGGGACCTTCCCTCTGAAAGCGAAACATGAGCATTTCATCTCACAGGAACAGAAATTTTATGTTCCCTCCTCCGGACTTTCCTACTCTCCCGCCCTAGGCACCACCACCATCTCGCTCGGTCACCCTCCTCGCACACCACAGTAGCTGCTGGCACCCACCAGCTTCATCTCCCACCTCCCCTGCAGCTCCCCCCCCCTCCCC